GTGTCTACTCCCTGTCCCCTCTCTCCCCCCCCCCCCCCCAGCTGCTGAAGCTGTGCACCACCATGCTGGAGTCGGGGCGGCAGTACTGCTCCCACAGCAAGAACTTTGTGTCTGGCGTCCAGGAGCTGTCCCACAATGCCCAGGGGGACCCCATGATGAGCGTAAGCGTGCAGGCCAGAGGTGGCCGGGGTGGGGTGGGGTGGGGTGACCAGATTGGGTGCCTGGGCGGGTTGGGGGCAGCCCCTGTGTTGTGCCCCATCCAGTTTGGCCAGCCCTGGTGGAAGCGCTGGAAAGACCAGTTTGGCTCTGGTGGGGGCGGGGGGTCATGGCCGGAGGGCAGGAACCTGAGATGTCTGCCGATCCCGACTGTGCACCTTCAAGTGCTTTTCTGCAACCGCCGTGACCTCTAGAAACTCTGGATCATGAGGTCCGGAAACTTCAGGGTTTTGTTTTTTTTTGAAACGGCTTGCAAGACTGCCGCCTGCCATGGGGCCGCTGCACCGCGTCCTTCGGGGTGGTGTCCCATTTCCAGCCCTGAGTTCTGAATCCTCCCGGACTGGCGAGGGGTGGAATGGATTCTCACACCCGGGCCCTTCACAGTGTTCTCCCCCTCTGTCTTTCTGGGCCCCGTTTTCCAGGAGTGCCTCAAGAAATTTTCGGAGAGCCTCAACCAGATGATTGGCAGGCACGAGGTGAGAAATGGCTCCTTTCCTCGGTTCAGCCTCCTTTTTCTTTCCCCAGAGGAGTTGGGGGCCTGCATCCTGAGAGCCAGTCTGGTGCAGTGGTTAAGTGCGCGGACTCTAATCCCGCTCGCGGGGTAGGGCGGGGTAGCCTCCACTCGAAGCTGCTGGATGACCTTCCGCAAGCCATCGTTCTCTCAGAGCTGTCCTTGAAAAAGAGCAGTTTCTGTCAAGAGCTCTCTTGGCCCCACCTACCTCACAGGGTGTCTGTTGTGGGGAGGGGAAGGGAAAGGAGTTTGTAAGTCGCTCTGAGACTCCTTTGGGTAGTGAAGGGCGGGGTATAAATTGGTGTGGTGGTCTAATCCGGGAGAACCAGGTTTGATTCCCCACTCCTCCACTTGCAGCCAGCTGGGGGTCCTTGGCTCAGTCACAAGTTCCTTTCAGAGCTGTTCTCTCAAGGGCAGTTCTGGAGAGAGCTCTCTCAGCCCCACTTGCCTCACAGGGCGTCTGTCTGTAGTGGGGAGAGGGAGGGAAAGGAGTTTGTAAGCCGCTCTGAGACTCCTTCGGGTAGTGAAGGGTGGGGTATAAATCCAATCCCTTCTTCTTCTTCTTCCTTGAGGCACCCTGTCAAGAGTCTTGTGCTGTGGGAGCACTTGCTGTGCAGACTTTAATCTGGGAGAACCGAGTTTCATTCCCCACTCCTCCACATGCAAATGCTGGTGTGGCCTTGGGTCAGTCAAAAGTTGTTTGAGAGCTGTTCTCTGGAGCAGTTCTCAAAAGAGCTCTCTCAACCTCACCTACCTCAGAGGGTGTCTGTTGTGGGGAGGGGAAGGGAATGGGATTTCAAGCCACTCTGAGACTCCTTTGGGTAGTGAAGGGCAGGGTATAAATCCAATCTCCTCTTCCTCCTCCTCCTCCTCCTCCTCCCCCTCCTCTCTTGGGAGCCGGAATCGGAGATCGCTGGTCAGCCAAAGCCGGGGTGTGTGTGTGCCTGTGCACGTGTGTGCATGCAAAACACCTTCCTTGCGAGGAACGGTCGAAACGTTTTTAGTTTAGAAAGAATGGACAGCTAGGCAGGAGGGTGGGGAGTGACAGAAACGAGAGGATTATAAGCGTGGAAGGGAGAGGAGACTTTTCCTCCCTCCCTCCCTCCCTCCCTCCCTAGTGCGAGAGCTCACAAGCATCCAGTGAATTCAAAAGGCGCTAGATTTCTACACAGCCCACAAGAAATGCTCTTCCACGCAGTGTGTAACTTAGCCTGCGGAACATCCTGCCACAAGATGCAGTGATGGCTTTGATAAGAGAAATCCATGGCATGGCAGAGGGGTCTGCCAGTGGCTGTTGAATATGACGCCCATGTGCAGAGGTGGTGCTGCCAAATGCCGGCAGATAACCTTCCTGGGTGGTGGTCCTGTGTGCCACTCCCAAGGCCATCTGGATGCTGGACGAGCCAGCCCTCAGCTGTGACACTGCAGGGGTCTCGGAATGCTGTAGATGAAGAAGAAGAAGAAGAAGAAGAGATTGGATGTATCCCCCGCCCTTCACTACCCGAAGGAGTCTCAGAGCGGCTCACAATCTCCCTTCCCCTCCCCACAACAGACACCCTCTGTGAGGTAGGTGGGGCTGAGAGAGCTCTGAGAGAGCCGCTCTTGGGGGAACAACTCTGAGAGAACTGTAACTGACCCAAAGTTATCCAGCAGCTGCATGTGGAGAAGTGGGGAATCAAACCTGGTTGTCTGGATTAGAGTCTGCCACTCTTAACCACTACACTAGACAGTGGTTTTTCAGACTGGGTCTTAGGAAAGTTTGGGGCTACTTGGCTGAGAGAGCTCTTTCAAGAGCTGCCCTTTCAAGGACAGCTCTTGTCAGAACTATGGCTTGCCCAAGGTCATCCAGCAGCTACAAGTGGATGAGTGGGGAATCAAACCCGGTTCTCCCAGATTAGAGTCCGCGCACTTTAACCACTACACCAGTTTATAAGAGCCCCCCCCCCATCATCAAGGCAGCAAAATCTAAATTAACTTTGCCTTCAAATCACCTGATGCCCAGCCATCTTTCAGCTCCTTGACTGAGGGCAGGTGTGACCCACCAGGACCTTCCCCAGCTTGAACTGGAGCCAGTTCGGTGTAGTGGTTAAGAGCGCGGATTCTAATCTGGGAGAACGGGGTTTGGTTCCCCACTCCTCCACATGCAGCTGCTGGTGTGACCTTGGGTCAGTCACAAGTTCTCTCAGAGCTGTTCTCTCAAGGGCACTTTCTGTCTGAGCTCTCTCAGCCCCACCGACCTCACAGGGTGTCTATTGTGGGGAGGGGGAAGGGAAAGGAGATTGTAAGCTGCTCTGAGACTCCTTCGGGTAGTGAAGGGCGGGGTATGAATCCAGTCTCTTCTCTTCTTCTTCTTCCTTGAACTGAATGTGCCTTACGCAAGAGCTGTGACCTCAGCCGGGCTTGTGCCAGCGATTCCCCCGGGGGGATTGGGTTCATGGCAGGTCAGGGCTCCCCGCCTCTCCTTCCCCCGTGGGCTCCTTTTCTCCTCCTGAACCCCACGTCCCCCAAACCGTTTAGCCTCTCTCCAGAGGGAAGGCGTCCGGTCGTCCACACGGTCCCTGGAGCTGCCGAACTCTCGTACAATTCCTGACCTCGCCCGGTTGGGACGGTCGGCCTTGGCTTCCCCCCTCTCCACCCTCTTTGCTTTTTCTTTCTGTCGCAGGAACTTCTGGACACGACACAACAATCCTTCAAGCAACAGCTGCAGAGTCTGGTGAAAGAGTAAGGCGGCCAGAGAGTGTCTGGCAAAGGAGGAGGAGGAGGATTTGGGGAGAGGGACGAGGGGTTTGGTAGATGCTCAAAAAGCAGGCCGGCCTGGGGGGAACTCTCTGGGCAGAGCCGTCGTGCGTTGGGCGTCATCTTTGTCCCTGTGGCGCTTTGGCACATTTGGGCCGCCTTCCAAGGGCGTTGTGGTCATGGGCTGGCCCCGACCCCTTGAGGTCTACCAGTGAATCAGGTGGGGCGCGCGATCAGAGTTCTGCTCCCCAAAATGGAAGAGTGTGCTGGGTTCGAATCTGGCGATGAATTAGAGTTGCCCACTGCTGCTTGGGAAGAATCTGGAGGCTTGGGGTTGGAGCCTGTGGAGGGCGGGGTTTGGGGCGGGAGGGACCTCGCTGGGGTCAAAGGCCATGGAGCCCATCCTCCCCGGCCGCCATTTTCTCCGGGGGAGCTGATCTCAGGAGATCAGTTGTAATTCCGGGAGATCTCCAGACCCCACCTGGAGTTTGGAAACCCTATGAGCAGTGTTCCCGCTAAGCTGAGCTGGTGTGAGCTAGCTCACCGTTTTTTAGCCTCCGGCGCACATGTTTTTGTCTTACCTCAGGACTCTGAGCAAACTGATTAACGCAGTCGCCAAATCGCTCGCTCACCACTTTCATGCCAGTATCTCACCAAGTAGGATTTTTGCTCACAAGACTCCGCGGCTTAGAGGGAATATTGGCAGTGTTCACTCTAAGCTGAGTTGGTGTGAGCTAGCTCACCGTTTTTTAGCCTCCGGCGCACACGTTTTTGTCTTACCTCAGGAAGGGACGGCTCCAGAGCAAACTGAATTATGCAGTCGCCAAATCGCTCGCTCACAACTTTCATGCCAGTAGCTCACCAAGTAGGATTTTTGCTCACAGGACTCCGCGGCTTAGAGGGAATATTGGCAGTGTTCCCTCTAAGCTGAGTTGGTGTGAGCTAGCTCACTGTTTCTTAGCCTCTGGTTCACACATTTCTGTCTTAGCTCAGGAAAGATGGCTCCAGAGCAAACTGAATTATGCAGTCGCCAAATCGCTCGCTCACAACTTTCATGCCAGTAGCTCACCAAGTAGGATTTTTGCTCACAGGACTCCGCGGCTTAGAGGGAATATTGGCAGTGTTCCCTCTAAGCTGAGTTGGTGTGAGCTAATTCACTGCTTTTTAGCCTCTGGTTCACACATTTCTGTCTTAGCTCAGGAAGGGACGGCTCCAGAGCGAACGGATTTATGCAGTAGCCAAATCACCCGCTGACAACTTTCATGCCAGTATCTCAGAAAGTAGGATTTTTGCTCACAGGACTCCACAGCTTAGAGGGACTATTATGTGTGGTGTTTGGGGTGGTGTTGGCGTTGGGGGAGCCTGGGGGGGTGGGCTGGCTACAGTGGCAACGGCTGGGGTTATGGGCTGCCGCCTCTCTCCTCCCCCTCACCCGGTGACTTTCATGCCTTAGAGACATCAAGCAGTTCAAGGAGACCCGTAAGGAATTCGAACGCAGCAGCGAAACCCTCTCCAGCGCCCTCCACCATAACGCCGAAGTGCCCCGGCGACGCCACCACGAGGCCGAGGAGGCCGTCCTTGCGTTGAAGGCCGCCCGCACTGCCTTCCGTGCCCGAGCCCTCGACTACGTCCTCCAGGTGGGGGGGGGGAGGGCCTGACTGCCGGCCAGGGCTCCTCCGGGGTCCTCTCCTGGCTCTGGGAAGGGGAGCTGGAGCGACCCATTCGTCTGGTCTGGGGGGAAGGCGGGTGGCTGGGAGTCAGGGTGGCCGGGGTGTGTGGAATCCCTCCAGGGTCAAGCGAGTGTTTCTTCTTCCCAGATCAACGTGATCCAGTCAAAGAAGAAATTTGAGATCCTGAAGTTTGTGAGTAACTTTGCCTTGGCTTGACTTGTGTCCGTAATAGTCGGTTGAGTAGCCAACGCTTCCATCTGCGGAGCCACGCATCCCTGCGTCTTTGGTCTAGTGGTTAGGGGCGCGGACTCTAATCTGGGAGAACCGGGTTTGATTCCCCACTCCTCCACGTGCAGCTGCTGGTGGGACCTTGGGTCAGTCTCAAGTTCCCTCAGAGCTGTTCTCAAGGGCAGTCCTCGAAAGAGCTCTCTCAGCCCTACGTCCCTCACAGGGTGTCTTTGTTGTGGGGAGGGGAAGGGGTTGGAAGCCACTCTGAGACTCCTTTGGGTAGTGAAGGGCGGGGTATAAATCCAATTTCCTCCTCCTCGTCTTCTTCTTCGTCTTCTTCTTCTACTACTACTGCTATTTGGATCCTTGAAAGCATGTGGTCAGCTTCACACTTATATATGTGGGGTTTGTATGCCAGGGTTTGGCTTTTTTTGTGATAAACGCTAGGTTTAGAGTCTGTAGAGTTTCGAGGAATCGCGTGCCCAGCCGTTTTAGTCAGTGAGCCCCTTTGAAACTCAGACAGTGGATGGTAGGCGCAGCCACAAAATGGCTGCCACAAAATGGCGGAGCCAACCCCAGAATGCCGGGGAGTGAAGTCGTGCATAACTTTAATAGTACCGCTTGAACATTTCATGCCGAACCTCTGTTTACGAGGATACCTTTTCAAACGAACCTGTTGTTCAGAAATATTTTCTTGCCCACACACAGGTTTAAGGAGCCAGTTTGGTGTAGCGGTTAGGAGCGCGGACTCTAATCTGGGAGAATCAGGTTTGATTCCCCACTTAGAATCATAGAATCATAGAGTTGGAAGGGACCTCCAGGGTCATCTAGTCCAACCGCCTGCACAATGCAGGAAATTCACAAATACTTCCCCTCCACACCTGTAGTGACCCCTGTTCCACGCCCAGGAGATGATAACAAACCTCCAGGATTGCTTCCTGATCCCGAAGTGACGATCAGCATTTCCCTGGGCGTGTAAGAAAGGGCCACAAGACCTAAGCACTGAGGCAACCCTTCCTTCCCTCCCCTCTCATGATCTGCCTACATTCACCGAATCCGCATTGCTGTCCGATGGCCATCTAGCCTCTGTTTGAAAACCTCGAAAGAAGGAGAGCCCACCAGCTCCCGAGGAAGCCTGTTCCACTGAGGAACCGCTCCGTCAGGAAGTTAGCCAGCTGGGTGACCTTGGGTCAGCCACAAGTTCACTCAGAGCTGTTCTCTCACGAGCAGTTCTTGAAAGAGAGCTCTCTCAGCCCCACCTCCCTCACAGGGTGTCTGTTGTGGGGAGGGGAAGGGAAAGGAGGTTATCAGCCGCTCTGAGACTCCTTTGGGTAATGAAAGGCGGGGTATAAATCCAGTCTCTTCTTTTCTCTTCAGTTGTACATTGAACATTCTTGTCCTGTGGCAACTCTTTAAAAATCTGCACAGCCAGCCAGAAACCTTGCTGGGCAAAAGGCTCACCTGACTGCGCCCATTTTGTATGAGCCCGTGGTGGGTGCTTAGAAAGGGTGCTGGGGGGCAGCACGGTTGGGAAACCTAGTTTTTGAGTGTCCCGTCGCCATTCGGTCAAACGTTCATGTTAGGAAACCTTCGTTGCAATTTTTAAATTTGAGTTTGGAGGTTTCAGCCCTGGATTCTGTCTGCAAGCCGTGACTCTCTAAGGTCTTTTTGTTCTGCAGCGCCTCCCCCCCTCGCGCCCCCCTTATCTGGGGTGAGACTTCGTGCTCAGGAAATGTGGCTTCCAGACAGGCTCGAACCCCCCCAATCTCTCTCTCTTTGGAAACAAAAGTGCCTCTTCAGCACTTCCGGGTTGATCAGGCCGTATGTCTTTCCAGATGTTGACTTCCATGGAAGCCCAGTCCTCGTACCTAGAGCAGGGGTTCCATGCGGCAAAAGAGCTGGCGCAGTATCGGAAGGACTTGGCAGCACAGGTGAGAGGACCCCCCGGCCCCCGGGTAGAAGATGCAGGGGAGGAGAGGGGTGGGCCGGTCTCCTCTCCTCTTGGCAAACCCCAGAAAGAGGGAGGAAGTGAGCGGAGGGGAGAGGAAGACCGGGGCCAGCCAGGAAAGAGTCGATTTGGACAAACAGGATGCGGGAGCCCGGCTTCTCCCCCACAGAGCCTGTGGCCATGCAGCCGCACCAGACCGCTTGTGCCCCTGGACTCCGCGTCTGGCTTCTCCAGGTAGGGGAACAGGTCTGGGAAAATCAAATGGGTGCTGGAGAGGGGGTGCGGAGGGGCGATGGGGGGCAGGCTGCCCTCTTAGTCCCTGGATATTCCCATTCAGCTTGGGGAGGGTGTTGAGGACACGTTATGGGCCCCTGACGTCAATGTCGCCCCGACCTGGACGTCACGGGTTAGCTCGCTCTCGTCAGATCTTGGAAGCGAGTCAGTGTCAGCCCTGGTTAGTATTAGGATGGGAGACCTCACAACAACCCTGTCAGGTAGGGTAGGCTTGAGAGGGCGTGACTAGCCCAAGATCACCCTGCAGGCTTCCACGACCTGGATCTTCCAGGTCTGACACTCTAACCCAGGGGTGTTGGACTCATTTGTGAAGAGGGCCGGATCTGACATAGATGAGACCTTGTTGGGCCAGGCCATGTGCGTGTCATAAAATGTAATGCCAGGCAGTGGAGATACAGACTTTATAAAGGACACAAACACAAAGATTTTTTTTAACTTAAAATAAAAACATGCTTAAAACATTAGCTCTGTAAGCTGCAAGCCTACTTTTAATTTATTGACATTCACCACAGAAATCTCATGCTCAGAGTTCTGAGTCTGGGACCCAGGTTAAAACATGAAATGGCTGAGTGATTAAGGGAGTCTGGCGATGCAAGCTATGATGCAGCAGCAGTAGCAGAACTGGAAGCAGGAGATGGCCAGTTCCACTGCGGGCCTGATGGAAGCCCTCCGGGGGCCTGATCTGGCCCCCGGGCCGCATGTTTGACACGCCCACTCTAACCACTATACCGTGCTGGATCTGGAATAGAAATACTTTCGATAAATAAATAAATAAAGCAGCACTTTGCAAGGTAAAACCACCATGAATTCTTCCCAGCCACAGAAGTTGCTGGTGTTCAGCTGAAATCCGTGTCGGGATCTGTTTAAAACCTGAATCTTGTGCAATGCTGATGGGTCTTGAACTTTTTTGTTTGAGGTTTTTTAAAGCCATTTTTAGCTCTGTACTAGGGAAGGCCGCTTAACACACGAACGGATAGTTTAAACGAGACCTTTCTTTTGTAAAAGATGAACACTATTTGGACAGATTGCGTTTAAACGCCGTTGAATCTGGAATTCCACAGAGTCTAATGCTGATGCCTGGCTTGTGGGCCGTCTCAATCCCACTCGTCTGTTTCCTGCTTCTAGCCGTGTGTTTCCCTGCAGAATGATCCCTGACCTTCAGTTTTGGCTGGGGGGTGGAGAAGGGAATTAGAACTGGAAGAAACAAAGTCAGGCAGGTGTTTGGGTGGGGGGAAGGGGTAGGAGTGAGAGTTTGGAGACGGTTTCCAATTTGTGCTGCTTTCTTCGGCTTCCGTGCCGGAAATCCTGGCCCCTGCCCTAAGCTCTCCCCTTTTTCAGCTCCATCAGTTGGTTCTGGAGTCGGCCCGAGAAAAGCGGGACATGGAGCAACGGCACACAGCGATCAAGCAGAAGGTGAGTGGATTTCAAGGGGGTGGAGCTTATGGGCGGGCCAGTTTTGAGAAAGAGGAGGGGCTTACGGCAAATAGAAGGAGGCTTGCCGTTTAGGGGCGGAGCTTATGGGCTGGCCCATTCTGAAAAAGAGGAGGGGCTTGAGGCAAATGGGATGAGGCTTGGAGCCAGAAGAAAGTTCGGATAACAGTGGGCTGGGCTTAGCCTGTGAGTGCTGGCGGAGGTGGGCCCTGGAGATTGGTAGGAGGAGCTTGTGGACACAGGGGCGTGGCTTCAGAGTGCCCACAAGACTGAGAAAGGTTCAGGAAGTGGAGCGGGGGGGGCACGGATAGGCCGGGAGGAGATGGCACAAGGGAGATGGCGTTTGGGCAGAACTGGAGGGTCTAGCGACTGTGTTGGCCTTTGGGGCGGGTTGGGAACAGGCAGGCCTGCTTGTTGGTTTGAGGAGGTTTTCTGTTTTGTAACGAGGGGCCACCCCTTTTCAGGACCTGTCGCAAGACGATGCGTTTCCTGAGCTCCGTTCAGAGCCAGGGCTGGTGGTTATGGAGGGGTACCTGTACAAGAGGGCCAGCAACGCCTTCAAGACATGGAGCAGGTGAGTGGACGCACCCCTTCCCCCTCCACACCCTGTTTCTCGTTTTCTCCAACCGGGTATACGAGGGCAGGACTGCGGTTCTGTCCGGCACCCAAGAACTGCCTTTCTCGAAAGACCCGTTCAGCTCGGCTTCCTGCTTCTCGTCAGCCAGTGCTTTCTTTCTGGTATCCCCGGGAAAGCAGCCTGGAAATCTCCCAAATACAAATGTAAAAAATCCTGTGTCTCCCGTTCTCCCCTTCCCCCCCCCATGCCAACGCTCGCCTTGTGCTCTCGCCCCCTCCCCAAACAGCTGGTTTCTGCTCCTCCATCCCAAACCCGTCTTTTCTATTTCAGGCGCTGGTTTTCCATACAAAGCAACCAGCTGGTATATCAGAAAAAGGCAAAGGTGAGGGGCTTGGGGAGGGAGGGGAAGCCAAGCGTATGGATTGGGGGGGGCATGACATTTGAAGGTGGGGAGGACAAAGGATGAATGCTAGAGCACCTGCTTGGCATGCAGAAGGTCCCAGGTTCAATCCCCGGCAACTACAGTTAAAAGGACCAGGCAGGAGGTGATAGGTGTGCTTGAGACCCCGGAGAGCTGCTGCCAGTCTGAGTTGACAATACTGACCTAGAATCCTAGAGTTGGAAGGGACCTCAGCGGTCATCTAGTCCAACCCCCTGCACAATGCAGGAAACTTACAACTACCTCCCCCTCTGCACCCGCAGTGACCCCTGTCCTGTGCCCAGAAGATGACAAAAAACCTCCAGGATCCCCGGCCAAACTGGCCCGGAGAAGATAAAGACCTTGAGGGACCAAGGGTCTGATTCAGTAGCAGACACCTTCATGTCTTCATGTCATGTGCCCCTCCCCTCGTGGATAACCCCATGGCTCAGGGACCGGCCTCTCTCCCCCTTGGCCCCCCTAATTCCACCTTCTCTGCCTCTTCTCCCCTTCCCCAAGCGACCCCCGAGGCTTCCCTTGCCACGTGCCCCCCTCCCGCGTGCTTCCCAAGGGAGGAAACGGTGGCCACAGCGATACAGCCCCCGGCCCATCAGTGTGGTCATCCATGGCAGTTCACGGGGGTTAGTGTAGTGCTTAAGTGTGCTGCTTGGATGACCTTGCAGCTGCTGGGTGACCTTGGGCAAGCCATCGTTCTGTCAGAGCTGTTCTCTCAAGGCCAGTTCTGGAGAGAGCTCTCTCAGCCCCGCCTACCTCACAGGGTGTCTGTTGTGGGGAGGGGAAGGGGAAGGAGTTTGTAAACCGCTCTGAGACTCCGAGTGAAGGGCGGGGTATAGATCCAGTCTCCTCCTCCTCCTCTCCTCTCCTTTCCTTTCTTTCTCTCTTTCTCTCTGTCTCTCTGTCTCTCCCTTTCTTCTTCTTCTTCTTCTTCTTCTTCGTCTTCTTCTTCTTCTTCTTCTTCTTCGTCTTCTTCTTCTTCTTCTTCTTCTTCGTCTTCTTCTTCTTCTTCTTCTTCTTCGTCTTCTTCTTCTTCTTCTTCTTCTTCCTCTTCCTCTTCCTCTTCCTCCTCCTCCTCTTCCTGATGAGAAAGCTGCCATTTGGGGAGGATGGGCCAGTATTCTGACACCAGCCTCTGACCCCTTCCCCCCCCCTGCCCAGGACGCCTTGACAGTGGTGGTTGAGGACCTGCGCCTGTGTACCGTGAAGCCGTGCCCGGACCAGGAGCGCCGCTTCTGCTTCGAAGTGGTTTCGCCCTCCAAGTGAGTCTTCCTCCAGGTGTGGTCCCGAGTCTGGCAGAGCTCAGGGAGCCAAAGGTGGCTCGAGCGTTAGAGTAGGATTTGGGAGACCTGAGTTCAGATCCCCCCACTCATGCCCTGGAAGCCGGCTGGGTGACCTTGGGCCAGTCCCAAGCATTCAGCCTAACCTACCTCACAGGGTTGTTGTGGGGACGAAACACAGGATACAAGGACAATGTAAGCTGCTTTGGGTCCCCATCAGGGGGAAAGGTGGGGTATAGATAAACAAACAGGGATTCTGGGCATTTGGGTCCATCTCTGGGGCAGCCTGCAGATTCAGACGCCTCGACCGCTGTCTTCCGTTTTATCCCACACTTTCTCCTCTAAGGAGTTTGGAAGGGGTCCTCTCCTTTCCCCCCTGTGTGCTCACAACAGCCTTTTAAAATCTGTATTTCTCTTTCATGCGTGTGCGTGAATGTGTGTGCCGGGAAGTCAGGGCGACCTCTGGTGACTCCTGCTGGGGCACGGAGGACGTTCAGAGAAGCGGCTTGAATAGCCTGCCCCTGGCCTCCTGGCCCTGGTATTCCTTGGAGGTCTCCCATCCAAGTCTTTGCCAGGGTTGGGGCCTCACAACCACCTTTTGAAGCCGCTCAGGCTGAGGGAACGAGAAGCGGACCCGAGGTCCCTCTCAGGACGGAGGGCGGGTTGCAACCGGGGCCTCCCCAATCCGAGCCTGGCACCCCAAGAGGCCCTCTCCTGCCGCCCCCTCTCTCACGGCCCTTTGCCCTCTTCCTTCTCCACCCCGGCAGGAGCTGCCTCCTCCAAGCGGATTCGGAGCGCCACCAGCAGGCCTGGGTGTCCGCCGTCCAAAACAGCATCGCTTCGGCTTACAGCGAGGAACTCCCGGAGCCCCTGGGGCAGGTAGGCGGGGGGGAGTCTGGAATGGTCCGAAAGATGGTGTGGGGTTTGGGGGCGTCTGGTACAGACCTCTGCGCTGTGAGTTAAACCTGCTTCCCCAGAATCAACGCACATCAAGCTTAAATTGCGTGAGCTGTCATAAGAATAGAAGAGCCCTGCTGGGTCAGACAAGGGAGGGTCCATCCAGTCCAGCATCCAGTCTCACATAGCGGCCAACCAGTTCCCCTGGAGGGTGAACAACAGGGCAGAGAGGCCGAGGCCTTCATAAGGACATCAGAAGGGTCCTGCTGGATCAGATCAGTGAGGGTCCCTCTAGTCCAGCATCCCGTCTCATACAGCGGCCAACCAGGTCCTTTGGAGGGCCAACAACAGGGCAGAGAGGCCGAGGCCTTCCTCTGATAAGAACCTCAGAAGAGCCCTGCTGGATCATACCAGTGAGGGTCCATCTAGTCCAGCATCCTGTCTCACACAGCGTGTATCTCTCAAGGCCACAGGTGGTTGCTGGCGGGTAGTAGCTTGGGTGATCTCATGGCAGTATCCATGAGAAGCAGTATGTTATGATTAAGTAGGAGCGTTGCTTCCCAGGCTCAATGGCGCGCACGGGAAGACCTGCAATTGGGCCTCAGTTTTTTGAATTTACTATAATCTATTGGGATCCAGGCTTATGCCTCATTCTGAACAGTGATCCTGTTATGCACCTATTGCTTCAAATAAAGTAAAAACTTTTCCTACAAGTGTGTACTTCGTTGATTCGATGGGAGTCTGACAATTTGCCAGCCTTTCCAGTGTGAATTTGGAAATACCAAATCGGAACCGAGTTCTCATGGGAAATCTCAGGGTTTGGAATGTGAGGGTTTCACCTTGACGGCTTCGCTGTCGATTTTGGCAGGCACGGGATATGGAACCCATTGTCGGATGCCGAACGCAATTGCACGCCAGTTGCCAAATTCAGGTCAATGTGAATATACCAAAATGAAGTCACTCGCTGGATGTCAGATAAAGCCATCAAGTGTTCAGTGGGGAGCTGGGCCAATATTTAGTGAACCGTTGACATTCTTAAAAAGAACAAAGAACCACTGTGAATATTGATAGGACAGATTCATTTTGCCTCTAATGCTATGCTCAGTCGCTTTATGAACATTTCTCATTGCCTTAAAAAAGGAAACTTCAATATCCATCATGTTTTTAAATTATCTTCCTTCCAAGGAGTTCAAAGTGGCATAAATTTTATATTTATGTTGAAGGGGCTGTGGCTCAGTGGTAGAGCATCTGCTTGGCAAGCAGAAGGGCCCAGGTTCGATCCCTGGCATCTCCAGTTAAAAGGACCAGACAGTGGGTGGTGTGAAAGACCTCCGCCTGAGACCCTGGAGAGCCATGAACTGGGGCTGTAGCTCAGTGGCAGAGCTTCTGATTGGCAGGCAGAAGGTCCCAGGTTCAATCCCCGGCATCTCCCGTTAAAAAGGGCCAGGCAGGAGGTGATGGGAAAGACCTCTCTGCCTGAGACCCTGGAGAGCTGTAAAGAGGGGCTGTGGCTCAGTGGGAGAGCCTCTGCTTGGCAGGCAGAAGGTCCCAGGTTCAATCCCCGGCATCTCCAGTTACTGGATCTAGCCATATGCGATGTGAAAGACCTATGCCTTCCTGAGACCCTGGAGAGCTGCTGCCAGTCTGAGTAGACAATACTGAAGTTGATGGGCCCAGGGTCTGATTCGGTACAAGGCAGCTCCATGTATTCTGGGCCACTCAGAAAGTCCCAGGTTCAATCCCCAGCACCATCAGTAAAAAGGACCAGGCCGGAGATGATGGGAAAGAGCTCCACTTGAGACCCTATAGAGCCATGGTAGACAAGACTGGCCTTGGTGGACTATTGGTCTGATTCAGTATAAGGCAGCTTCTTGTGTCTATTTGTGTCTTTTGGAACCGGTCTTCCAGGGCTCCAAAGGACTGGGAACTTTGTTTAAAAACAAATGGAAACAGGGATTCTCTGACGTGGAAGTGCACGCCTTCCACCAGATTTCTGCACTGGCACCTTTGTTACAATGGTAGAACGCAACGAGCTCTCTGTCGTCTCCCCCAGCAACCCCTGGAACGAGCCGCCTCTCTTTCCGTGGGCAGGGTGCAGTCCCCCTTGGGCCGGCGGCTGCGGGGGAGCACGGACAAGCACGTGGTGGATCAGGTCCAGCGGCTGGAGGGCAACGCCCAGTGCTGCGATTGCCGGGAGCCTGCACCCGAGTGGGCCAGCATCAACCTGGGCATCACACTGTGCATTGAGTGTTCGGGCATCCACAGGTGAGCCGGCGTCTGTGTTTGGGGTGAGGGCAGCTGGGTTGCAGGATGCACCCCACCCCAACCCCCCGCTTTCCTGGCCTCTCTCTGTTTTCCCCCTGTGCCCTGTCTCACCCTGTCTCCCCTCCGCAGGAGTCTCGGCGTGCATTTCTCCAAGGTGCGGTCGCTGACCCTGGACTCTTGGGAACCTGAGCTTGTGAAGGTAACCTGGGCGGGTGGAAGGGTGGTGGCACGCACTCAGCAAGAGGGCGGGCGTGGACCAAATCGGCGTTCTCCAGCTGAGCAATAGGGAGTGTGGGGTTACAGCCCAGGGCTTCCTCCTTTGCCCGGCAGCAGCAGCAGCGAAAGATTCTTCCCAGCTGTGGTACCCCCCGATCCTGTAACTGGGGGCACTGGGGCTCAGACCTGGCCCCGTCTGTTCTTTGGTTCGGAGCTGCTGCCCGGAGGATGGAGCCCCTTGTCTGCACGCAAATGGTTCCATAGCCGATTGTCGTCACCGTCTCCTATTAAAAGACTTCAAGCACTAGGTACCGGACGAGACCTTTTGCCCACCCAAGACCAGTGCTCCCTCTGAGCGGTGGAGTCTTGTGAGCAAAGATTCCACTTTGTGAGCGCCTGACGTTACAGTTGTGAGCGAGCGATTGGGCTCCTGCGTAAATTAGTTTGCTCTGGAGCCATCCCTTCCTGAGCTGAGACAGAAATGTGTGAGCCGGAGGCTAAAAAACCGGGAGCTAGCTCACACTTAACTCAGTTTAGAGGGAACACTGCCCAAGATCTCCAAGGTCTCCATCCTGCCCGTCAGAGGAAAGCAGTACTGAGTTTGAGGGCCCAACAGTTGTCTTGGTAGAAAGCGGCTTCAGGTCTGTTCTCTCGCACTCGCACCAAGACCCTGTCTTGGACGTTTTAGCTGCCCATGGGACAAAGAAGATTATCTACACACAGTCAAAGTGGTGTAGCGCTTAGAGTGTCAGACTAGGATTTGGGAGACCTGTTCGAATCCCCGCTCTGCCATGGAAGGTTGCTGGGTGACTTTGGGCCAGTCACACCTGCTCAACCTAGACTACCCCACAGGGTTGTTGTGAGGATGAAATGAAGAAAGGAGAACAATGTGAGCCGCTTTGGGTCCTCACGGGGAAGAAAGGTGGGATATAATTAAAGTAAATAAATAAATCTGAAAAATGGGAATTATGGTGGGAATTTAGACTATTGACTATTATTCGTAGTAATGGTTTGGAAGGAGGGGCTATCATAAGTGTTCCATGTTCC